GCAAGAATCTGGTGGCCAAGAGATCCAGACCACATTGCCAGAATCTCACCGAAAGTACGAGCCACCTTATAAGTTTGGTCATGAGCACCGCTACTATGGCAATGCCAGAGATGAGTCACTACGGTAGGTTATTGGCATTTATGTCTTTGGATGAGTGGCTATTGAGTTTTAGGATGTGATCCATGCCTGTGAAGATGGGCGGGGGGGGGGGGGAGTCACCATCTTCCAGCATTCCCCAGCTAGCCTGTATAACATTTTTTTGTCTAAACATGCACAGGATTGCAACACTAATGCAGAAACAAGTTCTGAGACGCTGGTGTCTTTTGGCATGTTAAAGATGATGAAAAGTTAGGAGAGTATTTTAGGGCAGGGCACAATTCTGGACCACCATCCACCACAAAACGTTATTTAGAAACACAGAAACAGAGTGAGTCAGAAGGCACCTCCCAGGCCATCTAGTCTGACCCTCAGCTCTAGCTGGTTCCACTCATGACAAGTCTACCATTGTCTCTTACAAAGTGCATTGTGATGACTTGAATGGCATTCAGTGGGGGCAAGTACTCAGAGGATCATAAGCAGTCAAAGGTGACTAGAATATATCTTTACTTTATCCTTAACTCTTTAAGTGTCATGTAGCCATTGAACGATCTAGCCTCAAATGTCCTTCTGACAAAGAGTCATTCCTGCCCTCGCCATACAAATCTAATTACCTGTTCCACCTGCACATTATTTCCTCCCATCGCCATGAATGCTGAAAAAAGTGGGACTGAATGATCTGGCCCAGCCTAGAATAGTTTATTAAAGCATTGCCATGTTTGAGTCAAAAAACTTGCACATCAAGTAACTCCAGTTGCAGGATTTCAGTACCCAAACTTTAATGACGCAAATCCAACCTGCATGCTGTTGCTTGGCAAAAGTTCAATTGCCACTGTAATCCTAAATAACATTCACAATCTTGGTGCTCCAAGCTGTCTGAGGCCTTAGATATGCAATCATTCAAAAATGACACATGCATGTTACTCATGCTATGATTCTCGAGTATGTCTTTGTAATAGCTCACAGGAAATCAACACTACATTTGGTTTAAACTGCTGTGCTGCTGGGCTGGTTGATCGAAAGGTCGCCGGTTCGAATCTGCACAATGGGGTGAGTTCCCATTGCTCTGTCCCAGCTCCTGCCAACCTTGCAGTTTGAAAGCATGCAAATGCAAGTAGATAAAAAGGTACCACTTTGGTGGGCAGGTAACAGCGTTCCGTGCACTTCGGTGTTTAGTCATGCCAGCCACATGACCACGGAGACTGTCTGCAGACAAACGCAGGCTCCCTCGGCTAGGAAACGGAAATGAGCACCGCCCCCTAGAGTCAGGCATGACTGGACTTCACATCAAGGGGAAACCTTTACCTTTTATTCAACCTTTATCTATGAAACAGATCATGGTCATAATTCTAAACCTGCTCCTATGCCTCACTGAATTCAGTGGGCTTGTCTGAGTAAACTTTCATAGGAATAACAGGAGTAATTTCTGTTGAATTTAATGGGACTTATTTCCCAGTAAGTGTTTTGGTTGTAATCCTATAGCCCCTTATCTGAGAGTAAGCTCCCACTTAATAAGACTTCAGGGTAGACTCAAGATTTCTTTCAACTCAAAGATAATTCTGTTTGGGATAATCTCTCAAGCTGCCATCTAGTGGTAACTAGAGTAAAACCACCAAATGCACAAAAAATGCCAGCATATTTTCACTTAAAGCTTTTACTGTTAGCATCTAAGTTTTAGGAATTTTAACTTTTAAGAATAGGGAAAAAACTGCAGAAAAGCCAGGAAACCACGCAAAGATCAGTGGTCAGGGGAAACGGGTTGGGACTGGTGTGACCTCCCAGCATGCCCAGAGAGGCAGACTGACCCCTGGGTTCTCCAAAATTTGGAGTCAGCACTGCTTTGGGGCAATGGCTTGAATTTTTCTACAATACTGTGGAACAACCCTATATCAAGGGCATTATGGGAAACTAAAACGGCATCTTGCAGACCCTTCATTGGGGGCCATCTAGTCCTCATTGGAAGGCTCCTGGCAGACCTTCACTTTGGAATCTGGAAGGGCACCTGGGTCGCAGCAGCTTCCTGCAGTTGCCATATGTAGATGCATATTCTGAGAACCTATAATGAAGGCTACACAGGGCTTAAGACCCCACTTCAGCTCCACTCCATACAATAAAGCACTGCAGCCATTTCCCACTTTCTGCAAAGTCCAACAACTTCTGCCTTTCCATTTTGTCACCGGTGTCATCTTCTCCATTTCCAGAACTTCGGCAGCAAATTATTTAAGGAAGCAGGAACTTGCTGTACCTACATGAATCTTGGCAGGCTGGTCAAGTGTCCTGTCCACAGAGGACAGTCCTCTGTTTGAAGTGCTGCCGGAATATCCTCTGTTTGGTATCAACTTCTAGTTCCAATCTCAATTTAAGGATAAAGCCTCAGAAGAAAGGACAGCAGGGGCCTTCCAGTTGCCCATCAATGGTTGAGAGCTGAACAATAGAGAGAAGGTCACCCAGCCACAAACTTCCACACATTGAGGTGTGTGCAACTTGGATTTGAGGAGAGTATGTCCAAATTTGCATCCATTGTCCATTCATCAATTAGCAAATACAAATACATTTCTTCTTTTTCCTTGTGGCTGCCCCAGCTAAGGGTCACAGCAAAATACAGCTAGCAAGCCAGGCAACTATTTACATCTCATCTCTCAGCAATACAACTCCAAGTGATTACAGACACTTGTTGTAAAAGGACTTTTTATTTACTTTACTTTATTTACTTTAAATCTGACAAGGAGGGGGTCAGATAATTGCTTGTTCTCACATGCAAAGCCACGCTGCTTGCTCTGAACTAGCAATAACAAGGCACAAAGGCAGGTGAGAGGAACAGCAAAGGAACCAGTAGCCTGGGTAGTAATTTTCAGCTCTTTTTCTTTTTTACAGCAACAAAGTCACAGCACAGTCATCAGAAGTCTTTTTTAATTAGTAGAACTGGAGTCCTTCAGATTTCATAGTTTCAGGCAAAGGATGTTTGGAGGGGGAATGGAACAGAATGTTCTCACCTGTCACATGGCTGAGTGGGCCATCATTACACATTCCACGTAACTGAGATGTGGACACATCTTCAGTCACAAGAGTGTGTTCATATCTCCAAAAACTAGACAGAGTCTAACAGCACCTTTAAAGGCAAATATATTTTGAAGCAAGTTTTGTGACAGAGTCCACTTTAGTCCTTCAGTGCTTGTGGCAGAAGGTAGCTTGCGACTTACCAGAGGTTCTCTGGGTGGTTTGCAGTAAATCGAGAAATATATCTGACTCCACACTAAAAGGCAGGCAATTTGTGATCCATCAGATGTTGTCTGATTGCAGACTTCAGCATCCATCACCAGTTGTGCTGCCAAGAGCACAGAGTCCAAAAACATATGGAGGACCAAGAGTTACTCACCCCCAGTTTTACTATAGCAACAAAATAATGACCCCCCTCCACCTTTCTCTTTTCCTCCTCTAACAAGAACAAATAGGCTGCTGAAACTAAGAGAGTGGAGGATAACCAGGGATGCTTTTGGGGGTGGAAGGGTTGTGATTTCTATTCTACTCCAGTACCCAAAATCAAATCCCTGGGCTCAGAAAGCTTTAATACTTAGCTTATACCTTAGCACAAACAGGCAGATTTCACAGTTCCAATAAAATACATAGCAGATTCTGCCAGTATGAACTCTGCCTTCCTCCGGTTTTTGCCATATTAAACCAGCTAGTCCTTAAAGCACAAGTCTTTTTTTGTTTCTGCTAGAAAAAATTAATATTGCCATTGCATGCATTCAGATGTAAACCCCACAGTTGTTGCTTCAGACTTGGATGCAGGAGCTGGCAGATGGTTCCTGTCTGTCATTACTGAAAGGAAAAGTGCTCTCACATTGAATCCATGTTGTGTGCTGCAGGGTTTCAACTGCACTATAACAGTTTCACCACCTGATGGCACCAAAGTACACAGGCACAAGGTTACACACATAGGATGCTAAAATGTGGGTTATAAATGTTTTTAAAATGGGGCAAAACAGAAATATTTAACTATGAATGTTCAGAACATTCAATGAACAAGTTCAATTCTGCAAGTGATTCTAGAGGCTTTCTCTGCAGTCCCTATGACACGCTCAGTGGTGTAGGTCTCCACTACTAGGTTTTGCCGTTGGGTAAAGGGTTCCTTGTTTTAAAATGTGCCTGCTTCTCTTGCATGCCTAATGTCAGGCAAGGCATATTGCTCCCAGAAATTCTGAAACAATGGGCTACATATAGGGTTGAGGATAAATTTGTTTAGTTGATATTTTAATATGAATTTGCCGAATTTTGCAGTTTTGAACCAATTCTTGGTTCACACTTGGAATTTTTCATCAGAGTACTCCTGTCAAAACAGTGTGCAAAAATGTGTATATAACATGAAAGTGCTTACACAAAGTGCATGCATTACTGAAAATAATCTGTGTAGAGAGCCTTTGGGCTAATATAGCAGAAGATAAGTCTAATAAACAAATGCTGTTTGGGAATACACATTAGGAAAAGGTACTACCTATAATGTGCGTTTAGACAAAATTGTATAGAAAAATGAAAGTATCAAGATCAGTGCACACAAATGCATGAAGTGTAAACCTGGAGGAAGGGGAGAACTGTATTTAGGACACACCAAACTTAAAAAGGAGAATGACTGGGAGAAGCGGAAATTGACCGGTTTGTCCATCCAAAGTAAGATACAGCCCAGGTTACTCCGCTTCAGAGTGTAGGTAGTTAGGCAATGCCGTGCCTCAAATTAGGCAATACCAAGATTCAGTTGCCCCACTACATGAATTGATGTCCCTGCAACTTAGAAGCCAGCACATCTGGGTGGGAGATCGTGTCTAGCCAATCCATGGGGAACTACACTAGAGATCTTTACCGACACTGTAATGCCTGACTCACTGGCATGTCATGTGACACTCGCCCCAAACCATCCTCTTCATCCCATTTCTGCCATTTTTTCTTGGATTGCTTCAGACAGGTTTTTGTGTGTTGCATTTTTCCCGAGGTACATATTCCACTGTGGGCTAAACTTCAGAAATGTTCTGGGATGGAGGTAGCCGCTTCAATGACCTGGGACAGTGGCACTTTCAGAAGTGTCTTAATGGGGAATTGCTTTTGGGTGTAGGACAACAGGGGTACTGATCCCACTGGCTTCATCCAAAGGAAGAAGAGTTACAAGCAGCACCACAGCCTCCCCCTCCTCATGAGGGGGCAGGAGGAACTGCCAATTCTTTCCCTTTTTAAAATTTGATTGTTTGCTCCTTTGCCTTTACATCTAACTTTTGGATTAGGGGAGAACAGCAGCATTTTTTAAAAAGCCATTTTCCTGTACAGACCTTCCTTCCAACTCTTCCGACCTCTCCTGCCATTATATTTGTGTGCTATGTTGATTGGTATGTGCTTTGACAGTGGTAAATGCATTTTATCTAAATACTATGACCATGCTCCCTTAGAGAAGGAAGAGGCTCTGGTGTAGATCCCCTGCTGGACAATCTCTGCCCAGGGCAAATGCAGTCAATCCCAAATGAATTTCATGAAATAGCAGAATTGGAAGGGGCCAAGAAGACCATCTGGTCCAACCCCCTGCTGGTGCAAGATACCAATTTACACCATCCCATTCAGATGGCTGTCCAGTTTCTTTCTGAATGTCTCTAGTGTGGGACAGCCCAAGACCTCTCTGGGCAACTGGTTCCCCTGTTGCATTGCTCCAACAGAGAGGTAACATTTCCTGTTATCTAGTCTGAATCAGTGTTATCACAACTTTAGTTAACTATTCCATGTCCTACACTCTGAGCAGTAAGAAGAGATCTTGACCTTCCTCTTTGTAACAGCATTTGAGGTACTTATAGAGTGATATCATGTCCCCTCTCGGTCTTCTCATGCTGAACATACCCAGTTCTCTCAGTCTCTCCTCAAAGAACAGTCTTTCCAAACCCTGGATCTTTTTGTTGCCCTTCTCTGGACCTCTTCTAATTTTTCTGCATCTATCTTAAATCTTGGTGCCCAAAGCTGAACACAGTATTCTAGATATACCTCGAACTACTTGAAATTTCTGAACTGTTTCTGGGACCAGCAACTTTTGTGCATGGAACATTTGCCAAATTTAGGACACTTGCTGTAAAACACAACAGAATTACTTCAGCAAGTGAACTGTCATCCGGGTACAGAGGAGACATAAAGATCCTATATATGATTTTGAAGTTACTAGTCAAATCTTTGGCTACATATATTCCTTATCTCTGCTCTAAATCTCTGTGTTGTTTTATATGGCAACAACTTTGCAATTTGTGCAATAAAAAAGCACCCTGGGTACAATCCTGTAATGTACTTCGTGTGGGGCGCCCTTTAAAGAGGGTGCAAAAACGGAGCTGGTGCAGAAGGTGGTCATCTGACTACTGAGAGGGGCTGGGTGTTGATGATGCCAATATTGTTTGCATTCCTGAACTCAACTTAAAGGGCTGGTTTTAACTCCTGCAGCCTTAAATCAGTTGTGGCCAACTTACCTGACCTCAGAGGGTGGATCTGTACCAGCCAATACACCCTCTGAGGTACTTAACAGCCCTTCTTACTTACCAGTCACCAAAGGTTGGGGAACATGGGGAAGATGGCCACTTGGGAGGGGCCCTGCACCTCTGCTGCAGGGCTCCATCCGGGTTGTCTAGCTCCTTCTTTGGAAAACTCTGAAGATCCACCTGTTGCTGTTGACTTTCCCCTGAATTGTATTTTAGAGCTGATGGACTTAGTTGCTGCTATTTGTAGTCTGCATTTTGGTTGTCTGGTTGTTTCTTTCTTTGTGTGTGCTGCCTTCAGAGAATTCCATCTATAAAGGAGGCCTAAAATAACATTAAATAAATAAAAATATTATTTGCTCGGTGAATATGCTTAGCTGTTATTAAAAGGCGGGGAGATCTCCCCTGAAGACTGCATGGACTCCTTTTTATAAGATTTCCTTATATCTTCCAAAAACACACATACAGAACAATCATATTAATACCTATTGATATATAATCCCTCTCCCAATTTAGTACATGTTAATTCATCCCCTTTCATTCATTTTAATCTCCCTCTTTTCATAAGTCCCAGAGTCTTCTATAAGCTTCTTACAAACTATGAAATTCCTCTATCATATAATCTATATATTTTTGCCAATCCTTCCTAAAATAACTTTTTATCCTGTTAAACACTCTTAATTTCTGTGTCAACTTTTCATTAATTGCTGTATGCCATATTTTCTTTTTGCACCTAGATATTGTGAACATCTGAACTGTCTACAAATTAGGTGCTATTGCCTTGTGGCTGCCAACAAAAGACTTTAAAAAACATCTCCCTGTTCTTTTGCACAAATGTATGTAGAAGAACTTTGGCATATAAAATATTTCTTGCTTGGTATTTTTTAAAATTTCTATAAAGACTTTGTGTACTTCCGATTATATTATCTCTCTTATTTCTCATTTAAGCCTGCTTCTCATTTAATCTCACCAGCGGAGTTCAATATTAGGGGAAGGGATTGGGTGAAATTTACAAAGGCTGCAGTATACCATTAAGCCATCCAGCTAGATACTCTGAAGAGTAGTCAAAGTAATCTCCTTACAGTTCTTTTGAAAATGTCCAGCCATCTTGACCTTGTAGCTGTCTGGGTTAGAAAGAACTACCCGGTATGCTAATTCAAAGATGTGGCCAATTCCTTGATTGTTTGGCTAGTGCAGATCTACGAACATGAATATATAGAATATATATTAAATACACTAAAATAATTGCTTAGTCTCTTTTATTCCAGATTCCCTAGCCTAGCAGAAAATTCAATCGAGTAAGTATATATACTTTATATCGTATCTTTTCCCATTAACTGTGGAACCTACTTATGAACACAGTTCACAGGTCTGTGTAGAATCATGTGTAATTTTATTTTTTTTATTTTTTTGTTAGAGAAATCAATATATAAGGAAAGTAAAGAGATAGTATTTGTCTAAATGCCAGTCCAAACCAATGCCATTACCATATAATGTTCCTAGTTGTGTGTACTCGTGAAATACTTAAAAGATCATCTGTGTTCTTTAGATATGTGAAATATCCACAATATAAGACACCAGGGGCTCTTCTTGTGGAGAGTCGCTATCGGCCTTTCCATCCCTATGTCCATGGCAACATTAACATCAGAGGTAAAGCATTTGTCTTTGTGATTGGTTTGGGTTTTAGAATATTTACTGTTCTCTAATAGTTTTTTCTGTTAAACTAAGTAAACATAGTAAGTTAGAATAGCCATCAGTCATATTCTCAATGGTGTAAGAGAGCAGACTGCTGAATTCAGCAAGTTAAAGGTACAAGGCTATGCAAATTTAGGCAGAAAATCCTACAACTCTCAGCATCCCCCAACTAGCAGGAGAAATGCCTGGAGAATGCTGGGAATTATAGGATTTTGTTTTTCCCTAAGTATGCATAGGGTTGCATTCTAAAGCACTTTTGCATATTGGGAAAAGAGCATACAAGACCCTAGATTCATCAAACCCACTGAAATCTATGGGGCTTTAACAGGTCTACTATAATTATGGATCTAATCCCCTAGTTGCGCTCTCTAGTTTTGTATGGCTTGAACTTTTTGAAAAGAAGGTACATGCGGTCTTGAAACTATTGGGCAGTATATACTGCTATTGGGCAGTATAGACTTTTAAAAAATAAATAACAATGCTGCCACAAAACAAGTACTGCTGATTTGGTTCACGGGAAGCTGAGTCATAGAAAACTGCCTTGCCTGTGGAACATTGACTTTTGCATTCAAGCTCTGTGCTAGAGATTTGAACACCAGGAGAGAAAAAAGAAAACCCAGAAAAAATGGGGAAAGGAACCAGAAAAATGGGTGCAGATATTATTACTATTATTTTTACAAAGGGGGTGTTTTTGATATATTTTCTTTCACCATGTTTTTCCTGGTGTTTTCCAAGCTTTCACAATTCTGCTCTCTGTATATTTTATCCTCTATCTAGGTGCCTTTCTTTTATTTTTGGCCAGGTCTTTTTACAGTATTTTATGCTATTTTAAATAAACATCTAAATCTTGCTAATGTTTTATCTATTTATTTATTCATTTATTTTTCGGTTTATATCCTGCCTTTTTCCTACAAAGGGCTCAAGGCAGCTTACATCTCCTCCTCCATCTTATCCCCACAACAACAACCCTGTGAGGTAGGTTGGGCTGAGAGTCTGTGACTGGACCAAAGTCACCCAGTTGGCTCCATGGCTGAGCGGGGACTCGAACCCAGATCTCCTGAGTTCCAGTCCCACACACTTAACCACTACACCACACTGGCTCTTGTATTGCTTTATACTTTGCTGTAAACCACCCAGAGAGCTTTGGCTATGGGTGCTATAGAAATGAAAATAATAATAAACTGATTTTAGTACATATGTAAAGTAGCATGCACTTTTATTCTAAAATAAAAATAATGTAACATTTTGTACACTCAGAGTTCAATAACTCTGTTACCAAAAGCCTGATATGAGTTCTATGAGAGGCATCGGGAACTCACACAGGAAAGGTAAAATCCCAGACTACTTAGAACCAGAGAGCATGTATCCTGTTTAAATGCACAGGTACACACACTGAAGTCTTAAGAAGCTTGTAATCATTGTGGATTAAAGGTATTAACAGCAGGTTACATTAAAGGACTGGTCCTTCTAGTTGCTTATCTTCACAATGCTGAATATCAATGCAGAATTAGGCAGTGTAATCATTGCCAAGTTAGCAAAGTAGGCTTGCAAAATGCGGCCCAATAGCTGGATTAACATTCCTGCCTCCCCAATACACACACAAGCCTTTTAACTTTTCCAGTTCTGGCAGGTCTTTATTTTAGACTGGCCTTAAGAAGTAAACAAGTGGACAGCTTTTCAGGGTCTATTTTTATTTTGCAAGGGACTATCAGAGGACATGTTCTATTCCAAGCAAAGATTATCAGGTTAAGAATTATGGCCTCAAGAACTGCATAGAGCCTCTCTTGAAGAATTCCTGTGACCAGGTTCTACTTGGTATTCTATCCACATGTTCCAGTATTGGCAGTGAGACCATTAAAAAGAGCACTCTAGCTCTCTCGCTTTCTCTCAGCAGCGGAAATTTGGAAAATACATGTTTTCCTTCCTCTACCAAAATGTTAAAAGCACCTTGCAAAACACTGTATTCTTTGCACTCCGAAGTCAAGAACACCAACATGTATTGCAAACTTCTAGAAATGTGAGATGACTCCAAGAAGGAGCTTCCCCAAATCATAGTTGCTTTCCAGCTTTCACTACCTATAGTTCATGTTTGAGTCATTAGTGCAAAAAAGTGCCTCCATTATTTAACCTCTGAGCCTGCAATGCTGGCATGGGCATTATGCAAATAGACCTGGCTTTAAAACTCGCAAAACTAGAAAGAGGCCATGGTTTTGCTTTCACTTTTATTGCACTTTCAAGACTAGAAATGGGTGAAGAAAGGATACAAAGAATGTCAATTTTGTGCTGTTCTGGATTTTGCTGGAGCTTCAGCACATGACGCACGGCGCCAAAGAGAACTGTGTTCTTCTGACTTACACTTGCTGACTGTCATAGTACAACTGAGTGTTTATCTGCATCTTACAGGTGCCCCCTCTAGAAATGAAGACACCAGTGAACCAACCAATATTAATGGAGAAGTTATAGGGCCAGGACAGCAGGGATCTTTTCGTGTAGGTAATTGCTACTGTGGTTAGAAAAACTAAAGTAAGGGAATGAGCATAGTTTCACTGTAGAGGACAGGTTCCAGTCCAGTCCTCGGCATCGCCAAGTAAGCCCAGGAAGCTGCTGTCATTCAGTGCAGGCAATACTGAGTCTGGTCTAAGGCAGCTTCTCACATTACTAACGTTAGCCTACAGCTGACTTAGAAAAAACCAAAAATACTTTAAACAGATAAAAGTGCATTTCTGAGTATCCCATAAACTACTGATTTCTGCAATCGATGGAATAATATCAGTTGTGACGATGGAGTATTAAGTCTCATCACTCTGAACTCTTATAATGGAGAGTAGATTTAGCACCTTAGCATCACTACTTTTTCCACCCTGACCAGTTTTTTGTATACCTGTTTTGTTTCATTTACACTTTTTATTTTGTTATGCCAGATTTCTCAGTCTACTGAAGAAAGTAATCAGATTTCAGTGTCTGGAGCTCCCAAATCCATGTCCAAACCCCCAGAGCTTGACATTTCATACAGAGCTGCCAATATGCTTGAAAATGTAAAGAAAGCCCTTTGGTTGTCAGCTTACAAGCGTGACTATACAGGTAACTACTTTTAACAATTTGATGTGCCAAAGATTGAGGTGGGAGGATAAAACACAAATACTTGTAGATAATCATGGTAAGATTTGTTCTGAAGTATTACACTGCATTTGTATCCCACCGTTCTTCCTCTTGCAAGGAACCCAAGGAGGCTTCAAAGTGCTCCTCACTCTGCATTTTCCTCACAACACACCACCCTGTGAGGGAGTTCAACTGAGAGGCAATAACTAGCCCAAAGTCACCCAATGACCTAAGTGGCTAAGTGAGGAGTAGAACCCAGATCTTCAGCCCCAGTCCAGCATTCTTGACCACTGCACAACACTGGCTCTCACTCAATCTTAAAATATTAGAAGCTATTACATAAAGAAATTACTTGAGCATGTATTGAAATAGGAACAGTCACTTTCTAGCTTTCTAAATTCATATCCTTTTTACTTAAGGTAGAGGTTCTATGAACCCATTGCTGCTAGATGACTATGATGCCAAGATCATTGGCAGAGCAACTGGAGAGCTGGGCAAAGAAGTGGCACTTGTGAGTATGGCACCTAGCACCTTTCAACCCAATCCAACCCATCACCTTTGTTTGCAGTAGCTCATGTGTTCTGATAAAAGTCTAGAAAAGGAAATTGAACACGCCCTGAGCGTGACTTCAGTTTTTTGTTTTACGGTGACTATAGCTGCTTTCCAGCTAAGTACCTTAGTTGATCACAAGCCAAACCTAAGTCACTAGGGCAATTTGGCTGCTAAAAGAGCAAATGTAATTGCAGGATGCATTAACAGAAACTTGGTTTTCATACCATGAACGCAGACATGACAGCACTTGTCCTGTCCTTACAAAGTTTTCCCATCAAACCCGGAAGGTCAGGAATTGTGCTAAGGTTGCACATTTAAAAAATTCAAATATTTTTCAACAGGGGGTAGGGAAGGCAGCTGCTAATGATCAGGATCACAGCAAGCAGCCTGGAAGAACAGTAGATTCACATGAGTGCGTTTCATCAGAACCACTGAACAGGCCTCCTAAATTCTTCCTCACCGGCTGTGATCTGGGTAATGACTAGCCCGGATCAACTGCTATTTGTTTTAACATGCTTGTTAAGAACATAAAGCCCTGCAGCATCAGACCGAGGCTCCATCTAGTTCCATGTTCTGCTCACACAGTGGCCAGCCAGCTGCTCATGGGAAGCCCACACGTGGGCCACAGCTGCATCAGCACCCATGTCCCCTTGTCCACCTTCCCCTCCATGCCTACAGTGTTCGTGATACATTTACTCTTACGTCTTTTTGATGTTAAGAGTCATGATGAAAATAAAGGCTTAAGAACTTCTTCTAAAAAATTACTCTAAATGTTTTCTTCAGAGAGAATCATTTCCATCATCAACAACTCAAGTAAAGCCCTTGGATGGACGCATGGCCTATCCAATTCGAGACAGACAGTTTTACATCTCAGAACCTCAACAGCAGGACTCAGATGTTCAGGGGCCTCTGTTTCTGTGTACAAATAATTCTATCATACCCAAATACTCAGAAGGGCAACAAAGTAGAGGGAAAATGTCAGCAAGTCCATTTCCGCAGCATTATGATACAGAAAATAAAGCAAGGAAAAGGACTGAGGACGTGATTCAGAATCAGGTTCGGCCTCAGTCAAATGACCAGGGAAAAACCAATCAAGAAAAGAAGTTACCATGGAACAGATTTAGGAAAATTACAGATACCTGGAAAATGGAGCAATTATACCAAAGGCAGCTTGATGTTCCACCCGATCCAGAGCCATCTCTGAAGCCTGCAGATTCCATTTACTATGAAGATTTGCAGCCTTCCCGTTTAAACAATTACATTGTTTGGCACCATCCTGTCATGCTCAGTAAACCATCCTCATCCCATCTGTGTTTTGAAAAGCAGGCAGACTTCCCAGCTCTCCAGTTTGCTTCCAATCTCAAAGATACTACAACAAGCTGCACATTTCCCGGGTGGATTCCCAACTGCGGGGTGCCTCGGCCTCAGACAAAGTTACTCGATATCCAGGATTCTTTTAGGAAAGGGGAAGCCATCAAGTGTTTGAACAATCTAACTAAAGGGGGAATAAGGGACCTAAGGGATCATGACAGGGAAGGCAGGAGGCATAGATTTCAGGGCATTAATAGCTATTTCTTCCACTGATACATTTCCCTCTCCTTTCAAACAGTAGTGATAAAATCTCAGCTGAAATCTCTGTGTATTGCTTCTGAAATAGCCTTTGTTGCTTATATTTCATTCTCCTATTTTTACACCTTTTTATGAGCATTAATCCAATCTTCTATAAAGCAGGGCTGAGTAGATATAGATCAGGCCCCACTGGTTGATCTGTGTGAGTTTCATATCCCAGATTTCCACCCATGACACATTTATAAGTCTGCTAAATAAATAAAGTCTGCTAAGAACTGCTGAAAAAGCAGACCCTATGACTGCGTAAGAATTAAGCAGAAGAAAACCCTTCTCACACCAACTGAATGTGTGAAGGCTGAGTGAGACTACACCGACTTGTGGACTTCTGAGAAGATGGCAGCCTGAATTGCAGCAGTGTTTATAGATAGTTATAAATCATCTCCTGAGAAGTTCATTACCTTTCTAATTTACAGGTGAGCATGAAGACTTTTGGTTTATGGCTCTGGAAACGATGATATGGCTGGATAAAGGTAACTTGGAATAAGTTCAGGCCCACCTTCCCCACATATAGTACTTTCTTTTTTGTTTTCTTGTCCATATTGCACAACTCTTTGCTGAGCTAATATAAACAAGAATGTGGGATTAATTCCACAGCTGAGCAAGAAAGCTCAGTCCTGTTGGCTGTCTCTTATTATGAACCTTAAAGGTACATGATTGTCATGCTACTTGCTAGGCCTCAAGCCTAGTTAATTTTGTCTTGCAAACTTCTAAATTTCATTTCACACTTTCAGCTGATTTTTCCAAGTTTGGGGGGGGGTGTGTGTGTGTGTGTAAAGAGCTGTTCAAATGGGCCCTCAGCACCAATAGATCTATTTGCATGCTGGTCTGCATGATCATGAATAAAAGAACCACAAGAATCCTTATCACTGTACACAGTAACACCTTCTGTCAATTTGCTTGCTTTTCACAGGAATGCAAGTTAGAGTTCTGATAAGCATAAAATATATAGCACACAATGTGCTTTACCCCTTTAGTTCATGCAGTGACTTAAACCATTCAGCCATCATAACCACTACCCCCCATCCCCCACACACACTTAAACTAGTTGTATGGCTTTTTTATCATTTGCAGGAGTATAACCAATATCCAACTAGTCAGAAGTCAAGTCCCGCTGAGCTGATGAAACTTACTCTCTCAATCTACCATTGTTTGTCAGATCTTCCCAGCAACCCAGAGGAGCATCCCCCATACCAGCTGCAACCATCTTAGTACCTAGTTGACAGTGCCTAACCTCTTCCCACATTCCATTTTATGATGGTAACAAAACACAGACTCCAGAGCTTTATCAGCAGCCACATTTCTTCTTCTTTACCACTCTACACTCTTACTCTATGATAAGTTCTTAAGAACTCAAAAGCTTGCACAGTATTTTTTGACCTCTAAGCTGACTTAAGAGTATCACACTCACATGGATTTTAGTATTGTTTGGAAATTTAAGATTGCAACTAAAAGCAAACTCTGACTTGACCATAAGCCAGATTTATTTGCTTCCACACACTCCAATCACCCAATTTACCATCTAGCCTAATGAAGAGTCTGAATACCGACTATTTCATGATATTCTGGTTGGCCAATACAGTTTGGTTTATCATCTTTCCTGTATGGCTACTTTTCTGACACAATTTAGCTTTTTCCATACATGGACTCCGCTTGCAATTTTATATCCATTTTCCTGACCATAAGCCCCAGATATTTATAGGCCTGCACTGTGAAAGCTTAAAAAAAAATCTTATATCCATAATCCAAACGTGTCCATTCTGGCTAGCATAACTTTCACATTAAAATAGAGGCTTCTTCCAACTTCTTCCTTAACCATCGTGCATTACATTTACTCTCACACAGTGCGACCTCTGGCCTCGTTGCAAATTTATGCTGCAATAGTCCTCAGCCTTACAACGTAACCTTTTACTCTGAATGAAAAGTTAAGAGGCGGTCCAACTTTTACCACTGGCGATTGCCTCATTCACTGCCTGCTTGCCTCCCCCGTAACTGCCTCTTTGGGCGGAAAACTATCAGCAGCAACCGCGCTTTTCTAGAGGCCCAGACGGAATCCCCTCTTACGTCACACTCACGTGCCTCTTTCAACCAGGCAGGTCACTCTCGTCGCTTTTGACCTTGCCACGATCACTCTTCCACGCACGCGCAGCTCCGTCCAGTTGCGTTTCCGTCATTGCGCAAGCCGGCTCACTTTGGGCTCAACCTACCGTGCTTGCTCTGCGTTATCAGGACGGGCTCTTGGGCCGCCAATAGACGTTCCTCAACCCGGCGCCCAATTGGCTACCCGAGAGAGTAGGCGACAGATGAACTCGGGTGGGGGTTTGGCTGTAGAGGCACCGGTTACATAGCGCTGGGTGCGGTGTGTCCTTGGGCTGAGTCCGCAACTTTGCCAGGAGTCGAGCGACCAGAGCGCGTGGCTGCCTTTCGCGCCTTCCCTCGCTTTACCTGGTAATTAAGGGATACGGGGAGGGAGAGAACCGCTCCGGGCTCGGGCCGCACGTGTATGAGATGGGGCCGTAGGAAGGGCGAGGAAACGGACGCGGCCTTGGCGGAGTCGGCGAGGCCTGGCCTTGGCGGTCTGTCGGGGCGAAGGAAGGCTGCAGGCTGAAGGGCCGAGGACGAACGGACGGCTCGCAGAGGAGAGGCTTTTGGCATCTGCCACGTGGCCTGACGCAGGAACGCAGCCTCCCCCGAGATAGTGCTCTGCGGGCGTGTTGGATTGCAACTCCCAGTATCCCCCAGGGACGCTGGGAGTTGCAGTCCAACTCGCCTGCAGGGGCGACAGCCTGGGTAGAGGCTGCAGATCCCCGCCGGTTACGCTTCCCTTGTCTTTTAAGCGTGGCAAGCAGTCGATTTTCCCGCTCCACTCACCCGGCTTTGGACTGGGTGGGCCTTGAGCTGTCGTCGCCGCCCCTTTCCAGGCTTCCCGGTTCGTTGCAGCCGGACACGGGACAGCCGCTTGCAGAAGCCGTGCACGTAGCGATTCAAGGCGGCTTGAGCCGGTGTCGGTACCTGCCCTTATATGGCATTACGTGGAGCCGCGGCGGCATCTGGACCTAGGCCGAGTTCCGTTCGACCTTACCGCAGTGCAGTGTTACTTCAGTCTTTTTCAGTGTGGTCTCTAGATGTTTCACGCTACTGTTGTAGCATTCTTGACCCTTGGTCATGCTAGCTGGGGCTAATAGGGATTGTGGTCCAAAATCTCTGGAAGATCCATTGTGGAGGAAGGCTGCTTTAACACCACCTAAGGCGAGGAGGGGGCTGGAGAAGGATTGAGTGTGTTCCTTGGACCTGGGTGAACGCCTGCTCTTAAAGAGAGTATCAGAAAGGGCACTGGGAACCTTACTCTACTTTCTCCTGGTTTTGAAGATTGGAGGTTATGCCCCAATTCATGTCATGAGAACCTGAGGATGCTACCTTTAAAGCTACAGGCCAGATCATGCTAAGAAAATAAGGTCATTGAGGACATGGCCTCCATGAACTTGTTTTGGACTTGTTACATGTGTTTAATCAAGGTCATTTAAAAAAATCTGTGAGGGATTAGAGGACATGTCCTGGGTTATCTGTTAATTTTGTGTTGTTTTAAAGCCTGCCTTAAAATCTGCGTAGGACAGGGTTGATCTTGTTGCTACTCTTAAGTTATATGTAATGTTTCCACTTGAGGGTCTCTTATGATGCTGATACACCATTTGCCCCACACACAAATCCAAAATGTTCTTTGAAATAAATCTCAAGTACAGTGGTTAAGATTGCAACCTCATAAATGTATACCAAAAGTACAGTTATGGCCTCAGTGTGAAGTAATTATCTGTTTCACTTCCTTTTACATCACTTTGGGTGTAATGATGCTGTAGGTGCTAAAATGTCATCCATACTCCAAAAGATGTATTTAGGGAAGGAATCTGGGAATATACTGTAAAAATGGCATCAGTTGACCTTCTGGTCTTAAATTAGCTATGAAAATTGTGTATATCATTGTTTTTTCAGAAGCACCTGTGGTTTTGCATAACTGTCCCTTTTTTGTACATGTTGTACAACCCCAACTGACCTTGGACTATTTGTATGCATGTATGTTTTCAGCATTGATAATGGGAGACGTTGAGAAGGGCAAGAAGATCTTTGTTCAGAAGTGTTCACAGTGCCACACTGTTGAAAAAGGGGGCAAGCACAAGACTGGCCCAAATCTGCATGGTCTGTTTGGGCGGAAGACTGGTCAAGCTGAAGGTTTCTCTTACACAGCAGCCAACAAAAGCAAAGGTAAAATAGAAGTGTTTCATCAACCTTGCACATCAGATGCAAGTACATCACTATTATGTGCAGTGAAATGCTCTGGCAGAATAGATGCTCACTTCATGTTCTGCACCACCCCAAAATCCAGTTAATCTCAGTTTGGGTTCTCCATGTACTTTCTTCTGTATTTCATTGACCACTTCGTTTCTGTCCTCTCTGGAGATATATTCCACACTGGTAGCATCTCCTTGTAGTGTATGCTAAAGTGTGTTCATCTCTGTCCTGTATCTTCAACCCTTAGCAAGGTAGTACAGGATAGATTGACTAGAAAGTCCCTGCTGGATAAGGGGTCAGTGCCATGGAAGCACCACCTAGTGGTTGCATGCACTTGGCAAACATTAGGACTTTGTTATAAAAGAGTTAGAACTTTCAGGGTTTTAACAATACAAATGTATCATCAGCTAATGAACTAATGGTCTTTAGAGGCAGTTTTAATATTTATTTCAAGTGCAGCTTATTCGTCATTCATTATTCTTCATACAAAAAAGCTACACATCAGTTTGCACATAAGTTTAAAAAATGACAGTTCGTGCCTCAGTTTACAATCTAAGAGACAGCACAGAGGGAAAGGGGGATGGACATGGAGAAAGTGAAAATACATTGAGAGCACTTCTTAAAGATACAGTTCTTTGTAATGGCCAGTTGTGCAATTACTGTTCATTTGTGCCTCTGGCTTACTTCTATCTAAGCATGCTGTGATCCATTATGTCTGTACAGTCCACTGGATCAGAGTAGGGGTTTCCTCAGGAGTTGGTTAAGAAGTTTGGACACTTCATGCCCTCAGTTAAGCTCCAATAAAAATAACTGCAGGTATATGTTAAAAGGGATAATTCCACAATTGGGCTAATTCAGTGATTTCAGGTACTACTTCATGATGATATTTTAAGGGTGGTCCTCATTGCCTGACTTGTATGTGTAAATCTGCTGTTAGCCTTAGTGCATTTTATATTTTTGTGCCATGCTTTTCATACTGCCTGACATTGTCCTACAGTATTAAATTACTGAAAAAGAAGAATGTGTTTTTTAAATATGCAAATCATTTATAATATTGTTTTCCTAGGTATAATTTGGGGCGAAGATACACTATTTGAGTACTTGGAAAACCCCAAGAAGTATATTCCTGGAACTAAGATGATCTTTGCTGGCATTAAGAAGAAAACAGAGAGAGACGATCTAATAGCATACCTTAAGGAAGCCACTGCTAAGTAATGGCTGCTTGCTGCCTTATTTATTTCCCCCAACAACAGGAAATGATGCTCTGTGATGAGATTGGTTCTTAAACTTTGTATTTTTACATGCGTTGAATCTAACACTTCAAAAATCTTTCTTGTCAGCCAGAGAACTTTGATCATGAGTGGTTATCAAAATGTATGCACATGTCTTCGTCATAATTTATAGAGTTGTGTAATCAGCCTTGAAGACAGGGTGACTGCCATGTTTCCTGATCATGTAATTAAAACACCTTCAGTATGTCTTTGTTTTTTCTTTATCAGTAAGCTCAATTATATTTGTAGCAAACATTCTGTAGCCTCACTGTTCAGGCAAATACAAATTGCCTGGTTTTGCGTGTGTTCTACTCCATAGGCCTGGTCCAACCAAAGCAGTTCAATTTGGATTCAGGGATAATCAGGAAGGGACAAAACTACTTGTGTGAAAAATTATACACAGTTTATTGAAAACAAAATTGGGATGTGGATGTATATTGTTGGTAAACAGTCAAAAGAAAGTTTATCCATGTCCCTTCTGTCACAAGGCTTCCTGATACAACAGACACCCCTCCTGGAGCAATGTTTGTTTAGGCAACTTGTCTGTTCTTATCCCAACCAGAAGGCCAAGGCAAAATTTGTAAGCTGAAGCTACTTGTGAGAAAAAAGAGGGAGGCCAAGGAAAAAACCCAGAAATCTTAATTAACATTAGTAGAATGATATACAGCACCCTTATCTCAAGGATGAGGTAAGAACTACTCTTGCAACCCTGTAGGATTAACAGATTTTTATGGGTATGCTAAAGGCCTGTGCTGAGTACACAACAGTTCATATTCACAGTGTCCTAATTATTGGTCCCCATAAAGCCTGTCTCGCATTTTGTTTTGCTGTGAAACGAAAGCATGAAAGCCAGGAGCAACAATAAATGAAGATAATTAGGTGTACTAAAAGGCTTTTACACATCCAAAAAAGTTTTAATAGCAAATTATTTGTACAGCTAATGCAATATTGCCAGCTGGGTTTGTCTTTTCAGGGGCAAGCCTGGCAGAAGAGTCAAAGGGTCTGTGTGGTTTGTAAAGAGTTATATTTTTGCCTATATCTATACTGAGCAGGCTATGAGATGTCTTGACTCTTCATTTGAAATGTGTTTTCATATTTAAGAGATGAAAGATAAAAGCCAGTTAATAAGGATACTACCCGTTATTCACACTCTTACCCATATGTGCAAACCTCCTTAGAGCAAGGGGTACAGAGCCAAAATGGGGTGGTAGGGTGAATTGTACCCCAACAAAAGTCATTGGTTCAGGGTGTGGGCATAGCACTGATGTTATCACCTTTGCCTGTTGTGCCTTGCACCTGTTAGTCCTGAGAAAAGGACTAACAGTTCTGGCTTGGTTCTTTTGAGAGCAGTGGGTACTATGCAGAGCCATTCAGCCAGTGCTGGGAAGGATGACTGCTGAGGCCCCTCATCTTTCTCTCTGCCATCACCTCTGATCTAAGATTGGCAACAGCAGCAAGGATTCCCGGAGCGGTGCTCAGGAGCAGTACCAGGCAGGGAGACCTCATGCTTATCTCCAATCTCAGACTGGACGTAGCTGGGAGACCGATGACTGCTCTACTGTGTAACCAAAGGAGGCTCAGGATCCCTGCTTTACAGCATAAAGAATAATGACTGTCTATAGCAGCATTTGTCAAATGGCTAAGGCTGGTTGGGGCAATGGGTGCCATAGAGTGCAATTGGAGGACTCTAGGTTCACGAATGGTTTTAGTTGGAAAACGGTAAGGTAGAGGTAATAGTGACGAGGGATGAGTACAAGTAGGTATACGTTCATATATTTTGGGCAGTTTATATGCATTTGTGGAGTATGTATTATATGCAGGAATGTGCTTTGGGCTCGTGCCTTTGAAGAACTGCGTGACACTTTGGAAATAGGTATCGATAGCCACACTCACGCAGTCCATGCAACAGATCCTACATATGGGGCCTGTTTCCATAAGAATAAAATCCATAAGGTGAAGATAATTATTACATTTTTATACTGCCCATAGCCTAAGCTCTCTGGGCAGTTTACAACAATAATCATGGAATCATACACTCAAGTTACCCATCCCAGTTCTGATCAGGCCTGACCCTGCTTAGCTTCTAAGCTTAGGCAGGATCAGGCACTTCAGGCTATATGGAAGATCTAGTGGAATAGGTATTTGGCAGAATCATGCATGTTTTCCTTACCACATATATGCTTTGGTGTTAAAAAGTCCTAAATTAATCATTGGACATACATGGCTTATAGGTATTCAGTAGCAGTGCAAACCTTTCTGGATCCAAGACAGAGCATACACAAACTCGCACTATAGTATATAGAATAGAATATATTCAAACAAAATGTAGCTTCCATCTTAAACTGTTCAGATGAAATAACCAATCTGAGTACTGAGCTGTGAGAATGTGAAAGGATATGTACAACCTATCAAAACATGTTACTTCACACAAACGTATATAGTTTACAATGTGCCTAGTTTTAGTCATAGGACAGCAACACTCAGCATTACTGTTTGTATAGTAATGGTTAAATAACCGAACACCTTGCCAACTGCTCCAGAGATTAAATTGAACTGTTAGGACTAATGTATCTTCCATGTAGCATTGCTGTTAAGAATAAATATTAGAGTTTATTTTTTACAGAAGAAATGTTTGTGGAATTACGAACATACATGAAGTAGTAAGGAACAATTGCATACTAGATGGAAAGACTCACCAGAATGACTAAGGGTGTGATCTTGCACATTTTAGACATGTTTTGACTCTTAGGCTATCTACCAAATGAGTCAATATTGTGTGTGTTAATTTATTAATTAAATTGTGTGTGTGAAAATACTTAAATTTTCAATGTAAATTTTTACTTTTGAGAAACATATTTCCCCCCATCGATGCAGAATGGAACAGATTGCCATCATGATTGCTTTCTGCAGTGAACATGTGAGACTATCTTTTAATGACTAGTCAGCCCAATGAGCTTGAGTTCCCATGGCATCCCAAGAGCTAGATGCCGGATTTTATGTTACCCTCAAAAGTATCCTTTTGCATATGCAGCATGAACGCCAAAGCACGCTATGCTCAGAAGCCTCAATTGGGGTACTCTTTGTCTCCGATTTTTCGGATGACTAAAGCTAGTTCACTCAATGAGCAGGTTTTGACATGTGGTCAAATACAGTATATACTCCCAAATTTCATCATACTTAATTTGGGGTGGATTGTGTATAGAATGCAATTGCTAGTGCAATTCATCCATCTCTCTTTTTGTGAAAGTCAGTCTCTTCAAGCATACCAGTAAAGCTTCTAAAGATTTCACAGCACCCTGAAAGTTCTATTTTCCAAAAACCCCCCTTCCACAGTGCAGTTGTCATCTTCAATCAACTGTTACTATAAGGAACACTTTAAAAACCATGGATTTGATCAGGTACTGTAATTGTTCAGTGTGGCCACTAGAGGGAGCTAAAATACTGAATGAAAAGTTCTTTTCTGCAAACAGCATTATTTGATTTGATTTGACATTATTGAGCAGTTTTCAGGCTGCTTCAAAGCTCCTTAGTGCTGGTTCTTATGCTGGTAAAAGCACAGAATTCAGGTGGGAGCCAGCATGATGATGTTCTTAGGGTATTGTACTGGGGCACTAGAAATGGGTTATCATCCCCACTCAGCCATGAAACTTCCTGGGTGACTTGGACCAGTTCTTTACCAGCCTAGCCTAGACCCACAGGAATGTTGTCAAGATAAAATGGAGAGGAAAATCATGTGCACTTTGGAGGAAGGCAGGATAGCACTGAAATAAAATACTCTTGCATACATATGTCCTTGTTTCGCACCCTCTAAACTTGAGGCCGATGGAGGCTTCCTAGCCCATGCGCAAGCAGTAATGTATCCTACGCCCAGCCTTCCCCAACCTGGTCCCCTTCAGATGGGTTGGACTAAACTACTCAGCATCCTCCAGTTCAGCCATGCAGGGAGTCATAGTGCATCAACTCTCTGGCTGCTAAAGGCTGCTGTGTTATGCCAAGTAGTTGCATGTGTGGTACATTTCCCATCATTCCTGACACAGGAGTTTCAGAAATAATAGTACCAGGACTCCATAGTCCTACTGTCCATGTGATGATGATCATGAGTTTTTAATCTTAAATTTGTTCATTGCAAACCCAGCTGTGGAGTCAACGTCATCCTTGGATAACTTGATTTAAACTATGAAGATATTTTAACTCATGATGACCAAGTGTTACCAGAATAATTTACTAGTAAGAAGTCTTTCTGCAATTTGAAATTATCTTGTCCCTCCCCTTTTTTTTTTTTTTCCTTTGGAGGGTTACTTAATTTTCTATATCAACAAGTATTTCCCATTAACTTCAGTGAGACTCCGCTTTCACAGACAAAACACAAAAAAAGTTCTATTTGCAGAAAATCATTTCACGACAGAAAAACCTCCCGTGTTTGAGGTATTTTTGTTCCAGTGTCACAAGTGGCTAAAGGCTAACAGTTTGACTCTTCCCTGACAGTTACTTCTGTGCATATCAAATGGTATTTTGTGGGTTCATAGACTTTGATCCCTCATGTGAAATGCGAGACTCTCAGGTCCTCAATTAGATGGTATGATTGAATTTCAGCAGGCTCAATGTTACTCTTTAGATTTCTGCTGTAGATCAAGTATTTATCCATTTGGGACAGTCACTCCATTAGCTTATAGAACTGCACAGCAGACAGGCAAACAAAAGATGGGAAAGAGAGACTGCAGCCCTGGGTGAGAGTCATAGATTAAAGATTCATATCGATGATTGTAGGACAAACAATCCAGAATGTTCCCTAAAGTAATGCAGAATATTCAGCAAGTGCCAGTGAAGCCAGAGTTGGCACTAGGCTCCACCACTACCATTTTGTACACACAGGTGGAGGTTTGTGGAGAAAGGAGCTAATGAATGAAGGGGGGCAGGGACTAACTGTTATTGGCCAATTCTGAATAGTGCTATTTGTTTTGATTGGCTGAACCATTGGCTTGCCTGCAGCATACCCAACCAGGTCTTTTCCACGGCTGGTTCTCCTGGTCTTTTAAGGCTATGCCTTCTTCTGCCTATACCAAGGGGGTTGTGGTTGCCCACCTCTTAAAATGTGACTCATTGTGGGCTACTGCCTTGAAGAACTGGGAGACATCTTTGCTCTGTTCTCAGGGCAACCTTCAAGGGGAGTTACAGCTGAGCTTTTGCTGAGGCCCCACAGGGCAG